CCCAAAACCAGAGATGTTGGCGTGGATGTGGAGAAAAGGGAACACTTCTACACTGCTGGTGGGAATGCAAATTAATTCATTCCTTTTGGAAAGACATCTGGAGAACACTTAGAGAACTAAAAATAGACCTGCCATTTGATCCTGCAATTCCTTTAGTAGGTATATATCCAAAAGACAAAAAAATCACATTACAACAAAGATATTTCTATCAGAATGTTTATTGCAGCCCAATTCATAATTGCTAGGTCTTGGAAGAAGCCCAAGTGCCCATTGACCCATGAATGGATCAATAAACTGTGGTATATGTACACTATGGAATATTACGCAGCCCTAAATAAAGATGGAGACTTTACCTCCTTCATGTTTATATGGATGGAATTGGAAAATGTTCTTCTTAGCAAAGTATCTCAAGAATGGAAGAAGAGTATCCAATGTACATAGCGCTATTTTGAAACTAATTCATAGCTTTCATAAGAATGTCATAACCTAATTATAGCCTTAGAATGTGGGGAGGGGGGTGGGAGAGGGGAGGTAAGGAAGGTGGATGAGGGGAGGGAGGGTGATGGGTTGGGTCACCTCTATGGTTTATCTTACAAGGGTACAAGTGAATCTTTCTAAAAGCAGAGTATGAATGTCTTAGCTCAATAACTAAGAAAATGACATGAAGGTTATGTTAACCAGTTTGATGAGAGTATTTCAAAATGTATATGAAAACAGCACACTGTACCCCATGATTGCATTCATGTACATAGTTATGCTATAAGAAATAATAAAGGAAATTTGAATGGAAAAAAAGAAAAAAATATTTATTTAATTTTGCATGGTTTCTAATAATGAAAGGTTGTAAATTAACCATTCATTGAGAGAGGACTAGTTGAATGCATTATGGTTGGCTAGGCACGATGGCTCATGTCTGTAATCCCAGCACTCTGGGAGGTCCAGGCAGGTGGATTACCTGAGCTCAGGCATTGGAGACCAGCCTGAGCAAGAGCAAGCCCTGTCTCTACTGAAAATAGAACAAGTAGCTGGATGTTGGGGGCAGGTACCTATCATCCCAGCTACTAGGGAGGCTGAGGCAGGAAGTTTGCCTGAGCCCAAAAGTTTGAGGTTGCTGTGAGCTATGATGCCACAGCACTCTACCCAGGGCAACAGAGTGAAACTCTGTCTCCAAACAAATAATAATAATAGATAAATAAATACATACATTATGGTTCATCCAAGGCCCAGAACAAACACAAGCTCTGTGGCAGGTCCAGGTGGCAGCACAGGCTGCTCTGCCCTCCTGGGC